GTTTCAAATAAATTACAGTTTTCTTATAAATGCTATTGTGACTTGTGCAAAATCTGTTTTCAGAATATAACAAATTTTGCATTTTGCATTTAAATTTTCCAGGTAGCTTTTGATATAAACATATTGGAATCTTAACATTATATCTAGATTGGCATAAAAATATTTTAATTTTGAAGATTTAAAGCAAATTTTCTCTAAATCTAAATATCAGGAGTCAGAAGTCATTAAGAAGTTAAGTTAAGTCTAAGTTAAGAAGTCATTGACTACATAGTTTCCAATTTTCGGGGGTCAATTTCTCCACCCCAAACACCTGAAGTAATTCTGAATATCTCATTTTAAAGAAAATTATTTTAGGTTGTGTGCAAAATTTCAAGATTTTCTGTAATGCAGTTGCCAAAATATAAGCAATTGAAAAATGCAAAAATCACAAAAAAAGCTGTATTTTCTTCTCCTTTTTCTTCATCTAGCACTGCAGATGTTCATAGAGAAATAAACTACTTGGTCTAGAAAGCTCAAATTTTAAACTTAAGCCTTTCTTGTTATCAGTGAGGTGCTCACAAAACTTTTGGGTTGATAGGTCAAAGTTCACAGAGCTGATTCAGTTTTATGGCTTAATTTTATGCTTATAAAGATAAAATTGCATGGAAACAAATGAATTTTATTCAAAATGTTACTCAGAATTACAAAAGCTCAAATTTATGCAAATTAAAACTTTTTATAATGATTTTTCTAAACAGTGTATCAAAAGTGTTGGTCAGCAGCATGTTGGCTGATGCTGACTGAAATGAATATTGAAAGCTTTTGGTTGGCAGTGTTCAGTTGCTGAGCACTGACTGAATTGCATGTCATAGTCTTATGTCTTGACATAATAATACAATTATTAAACAAAAACAATTGGTATCCAAACAAAAATATCTGAGATGTAAAAAAATTACGCCAAGTAAAAATTTATGACTTTAGATGATCAAAATTTTTCTTAGCAGTTTTGACAAAATGTAGAAAACATTAATACAGGTAAAAATCTTGTGGGTACTATTTCCAAACATCAAGCTTATCTTTACTAAAGAAAAACTACTGAGAAAAATTTTGACTGTCATCTAAATTGTCATAAATTTTTACATCTCAGATGTTTTTTAGATAAGCCTATACCAGGGGTCGGCAACCTTTTTGAGTCGGAAGAGCCAAAATTACAATTTACAAGATTTCAAAGTTTTTAAAGAGCCACAAAATTTTTTCTTGCCAACAATAAATAGTACTCACATAAATAAAGTTTTTTGATAAAAAAACTAATCTATTTATTCATAAGAAAAAATATCTATTTATTCATATATAAGTAGTGTTTTTCACAACAAATTAGATAATAGAAACATCCAATGACGGCGTCATTCGAGAGCTTCCGACGGACTGACGGCAGTGATGACGCGTGCCATGGGGAGGGGTGTGGTGAAAAGCCAGTACAAGTGGCTGAGAGATAGAATCAGTGCCTAATCCTCGTTAATTGATTCAGAACAATTTTTAAATTTTTTTTTTTTTTTGATAAAATAAATAATATTTGCGTAAGGAACTAAAGAGCCGCAGCTTCACATCCAAAGAGCTCCACATGTGGCTCGCGAGCCACAGGTTGCCGACCCCTGGCCTATACCAAAATCATACTAAAACATAGTTGTATTGTTATGAATATGTATAATATAATACAATAATCAGCATGTTAATTTTCAAAAAATTATTTAGCATGAATTCAGATACTCAAAATTTCATAATTCTTTCATATAAATTTTAATTAAAAACTGAAATCCTATTTTTAAAAATTATTTAAATGAATAACTTAAAAAGTTATCAAATGCTGTGTTTGAATTGAGAGAAGTTAATATTTGAAAGCATGAAAATCAATGCAACATGAAAAAGGGAATGATGATAATTTGTTTTAGACCAATTAACAGTTAAATTAAACTTAGTTATTAATTACTTCAATCAGTCTTAAAACTATTTGATGCATTATTAAAGATTTACTTTTTGTAAGTACTGTATATTTTCATATTTGCTTATTACTAAGATATATCATTTATATGTTGTAGAATTTAATCCTATAAAAATAGTTTATAATAAATGAGACTTTTAATCAGCTGAGAAGAAATTCATAATGCAAATTAGATTTTGCACATATGCTTGTTGAGTAATGGCACTTCACTTTATCATTACTACGATGAAATTTGTGCTAATTATTAAAACAGAAAGATTTTCTTTGTTACAACTATACAACTTCTGATTTAACTTAATTAAAATTTAATTTTTGATATAACACATCAAAAATATAATTTAATATCTTGAAATTTAAATGTAAAATTTATTTGTCAATAATCAAAGCTCTTATAAGTAATTTGTGTTTTGAATTTTGCTTAAAAAATGTATTTATTTTGAGTTAATAATTAATTTATTAAGTAAACAACTTATATAAAAAATGCAAATGATTTATTCAAAAATATAAACATTTTCAACATTTTTTACAATTATATACAATGCAAATACACAGAACATAAATGAGTGGAATTTGAATTGTGATCATTATAATAGATATAACAATCTGTAAAGAACACACAAATTGTTTTCAAATAATTCATATTTTACAAATATTGGCTAAAAGTAAATAACATACACATTAAAAAATATATTTAAACAATTACATTTAAAAATGTATTTTAAATTATTCAATATACAACTTTCTTATAATTGTAATATAAATACAAGTCAATTATTCATATAAAGTAATCTAAGCTTAAAGATTCTTTTGCTATAACTGTTTTCAAGTGTTATCAATTTTATCTTCACAATCAACTATAACAAGTACAGTATTATTAATTGAATATTCTATACATGATATTTCGGTATTTTGTTAACTATAATAGTTAATCTATAATATTAAGTATAACAAAATAGTGTCAAAATAATATTAAATAAAATATATTTACTTCAAATAAAAGACCTGTATATTTTTATATTTGAGTCATATACAATTTATGCATATTGAAATATGTAAAAATCAACCTTGTACTATTTTTTTAAATTCTCTCCTGCAGACACCAAGAGGCCAAACTATTTTATATTTGAATTATAAATTATATGAAATGACNGCTAAAAGTAAATAACATACACATTAAAAAATATATTTAAACAATTACATTTAAAAATGTATTTTAAATTATTCAATATACAACTTTCTTATAATTGTAATATACATACAAGTCAATTATTCATATAAAGTAATCTAAGCTTAAAGATTCTTTTGCTATAACTGTTTTCAAGTGTTATCAATTTTATCTTCACAATCAACTATAACAAGTACAGTATTATTAATTGAATATTCTATACATGATATTTTGGTATTTTGTTAACTATAATAGTTAATCTATAATATTAAGTATAACAAAATAGTGTCAAAATAATATTAAATAAAATATATTTACTTCAAATAAAAGACCTGTATATTTTTATATTTGAGTCATATACAATTTATGCATATTGAAATATGTAAAAATCAACCTTGTACTATTATTTTAAATTCCCTCCTGCAGACACCAAGAGGCCAAACTATTTTATATTTGAATTATAAATTATATGAAATGACAAGAAAATATTGCAAAAAGATCAAATTTTAAATTATATTTATGATCATTTCTGCAACAAAAATAATGGGCACCCATACATTGGGGCATTTGTCCCTTTGTCACCAGATTTTCCTTTTCTTAATTAATCCACAAGGGAGCTCTAAGGTTTCAGTTTTTTTTTAAATTAGTTACTCATTTTTAATCACAAAAAACTTTTTTATTGATGACAAAATAAAAATAAAAATATTAGTTACTAACCAAAAATTTGTTCTAGCGGGTCATGATTGTTTGTTCGAGTACCAAGGTACCATTGTATTTGATTAACACAATTTTGATATACACAGTAGCATCGAGGGATTAATTAACTGCATTAATCAAGAGATACCTGTAAATATATATATATACTGGTATATACTGTATATTTTATATAATGTATCTGCAATGCCTTTTTTATAGCTCATGCTCCCCCTTTATTAGTCTGTGGGCACTGCTGAAAAATAATCAAAAATGTTTAAATATTTAACAAACAAAATTTTTAAAATTTCAGTCACGTAGTTTTCCATGTTGAATGTGCATCATCAGGATGACGATGCCCATTCAACTTGGAAACTACAAGAAAATGTTTGCTTTCTTCTAGGTTTTCTTGCTGGATATTGGTTATTTGTGTAGTGTTTAGTTATTAACAATTTTTAATCGTTTTAAGTTATATTACTTCAGTTAAAAATGCTATGCTATTTTATAAAAAATTTTAATATAATTTTTTTTTTCAAATATTTGTTTTAAGCATTTTAAAGTATAATTATATCTTCTGATAAATGATATCATCAGCAGATCAAATTTATAGAATTTCTAATTTCTAAATTGAATGAAATTTAAACTGAATAATTTTTAACCAAAAAAACACACCCACTTTTTTGTAGTTTACATTTTTATTATTCTAATGCTTTTGGGTTAAACTCCAAAAACCAATTATTTTGGATAAAAAATTTGATATGGGAGTTGTTTATATTTACTGATCAATTTAATTTATATTGTTAATCATACAATTATAATTTTGTATTTATAGTATATTAAAAACTTTAAATTATAAACTGCACACTATTAATTTATTTATACCAAAATTGATATACAATATATCATAATTGATTAAAATAATGAGATTTTTAACCTACAAAAATTCTAGTTTTTAAATTTTAGATAGCAATGCTATAAATATCATTTCAGATGAGATGTAAATGTATTTATATGTTTCATTTTATAAAAACTGAAAAATATCATTAAACTGTAGCAAAAATTTTTGATTATTTTATTTTGACTTAAAATTTTATTTAAAATTTTTTTAAAATGCATTTTATCAACATAATTAAATACTTTATAAATTTATAGTTTTCAATCTCAAATTAATTTTTTTATATAGAAAAAATTGTGAAGGTAATAAATCTTTCTAAAATCACCATTATAAAAAAGTTTGGTTCTTTTAATACATATTTTATTTGTATGTGATCACATTGATAAGAATAATGCTTTTTAATAATAAAATATGACTGAGTGAGCAATTTTAATCAATCAGATATCTTAGATATGTCTTGAGAATAGATTTATATATTTTTAGTATCACATGCAGATAACAAAATGTAGGAGTATACTATACTTTATAGTATAACAAAACCTCCCAATTCATCATCTCTATAAATATATATCAAATTCTTTTCTCCTTTTAATAAATTTTACTGATATTCATTATTTAAAGATCTATTTTAATTATTTGATATTTTCAGATATTTTTATCAAATCCTATATCATCATTTGATAATTATTTAGTCAGATTATTTAAATGAGTAGATGTATGATTTATATAATCAGTTTTTTGTTTTATATAAAAATAAATATTTAATTACATACAACAATAACAATAAAAACAATTGCCTTAAAGTTTCTTTAAATATTAATAACATTTGCTGCCCAATACAGTAAATTTAAAACTGTATATATCACAATGCCAAATAAGTAAAAGAATATTACTCTAAAATTTAGTTGTAATATCTCACGTATCAAATATCTGATTCCAGAATTTATAAAAGTTATTACTTTTACTAGAATGGCTTGATCTTGAATGATTTTTTAATTTTTCTTTAACTTCATTTAAATTTATAAACTTAATAAAAGGTATTCCCACATTTTTATATGTATCATTTATTAAATATTTACTTTGAATATTTGTTTCTGGAGGTAGTTTGTTTCCTAGACCTAAGGGACTGTTGTAAAATGGTTTTAAGTGATACATCATATATTCAAATAAATACATATATGCAGGATAAATACCATGAAATGTAATTGCATCATTACTACAGCAATTGCTCCCCTAAAAAAAGAAAATAAAAAAACAATTGTTAAAAACTATTGCATAAAGAAATCAGGTATTCTTTTTACATATGATATATACTTCATATATTATATTATGTATGCATGTATATGTGTGCACACAAATATTTGAAATAATGATATTGCAACTTTCTCCTCATTAAAAGCATAAATTTATAACTTACATCCAATTTATGCTTATTATTCTTGAAAAACTAGTATAAGAAATATACTAGTTTCACTGAAAAAGGCTAATTAGAGACAACATTTACGTATTCATATTTCTGATATAACTTTGATAATTAATATATTTTTTGTTATATTCATAATTCTAAAAGCTAATAAATGCCTTTGAAAAAACATTTTTAAATCAACTCCTTTAAATAATTAATGAATACAAATGTAGCTTTAACTTCTAAAATAAGATCCTAATAAATTGATCTTATGTATATATCAGGTAACCAAATAAATACTGTTGTTTTTGAAATGGAGGAAAAAAGCTTGATTTCTTTTGTTTAAAACAATTTTATTCATCAGAATATTCACCTTCATATTCAATTACTTTTCCAATGGGTTGTTGGCAGTTTGAAAATACCATTTTTAGCATTAAAAATTGAGTTATTTCCTGTTTTATAGCTGCTTGATTTGTAAATTGTTTTCCATGCATATGATTATTCAAAGATAAAAAAAGTGATAATCTGACAAAGATAAGTGAACAGAATATGAAGGATAAGGTAAAAGTTCCCATCCCAATTGCATTATTTTGTTTCTTGTAATTGCTTCAATGTGTGGGTGAGCATTGTCTTGTAAAAACAAAAACACTTCAATGATTCAACAGAGATGGCTGTTTTAGCTTTAATATTATTTTAAATAAAAAATACAAGCATTTTTATTCACATTAAAAAAATGTAAAAAAAACAATATTTGATTAACTGATATAACCAATCTATTAGGACCTGAAATAATTTAAATTAAGAAATATGTGTGAATTTTAAAATTATGGTTTCATTGATCCAGTCATCTAAAAATAAAAATATGCAAAAATGTAATAATGAATTTTGCAGATTCAATATGAACAGAATCTGAAAATTAACAAAAATGTTACTTGATATTTTGTAACAAATACTATGCTTTCATAGTTTAAAATTAATATTAAATTCTAATTCAATTATAAGATATAATTTTTAACTTTGTGTCAAGAGAATATTTTTGGTAATTTTCCTATTTATCAATATATTTTTATCTTATAATTTTACCTATTCATTTTTATCAATTTAAAACAGATAAATATTATTCAAACATTCATATCTCTCTAACTTCATTTCAAATTAAATAAATTAGAATCTAAAAATGGTTTAAATACTGTAATGCAAAATTTATTATTAAAAAACATTGTTTAAAAATATTATTCTCAAATCTACATTTATTCTGTTATTCATTTATATCAATCATCTTTCTCTATTTTCCAAATAATATTGTAAATTTTTTTCAATTTCCTCATAATCTATATATCATACATAAAAAGAATACCAATTATTTATAAAATACACCATAAGTAAAATCATGAAATAATACCAAAAAGCAATATTTTTTCGAAAAAATATTCTCATATATTTGATAATGGACCCAAAATCAAAACCAATCATGAATGCTAGCAATGTAAAATATTAATTTTGATATCAATGTAATCAGCATATGATATTAATTCTCAAAATATCTACTTGCAATGGACCTTATTACAGTTATATAGAGTGCACTCTAGCAAAAACTTTGTGAAAGTTTGGTGGGCATCACCAAACTTTCACAAAGTTTGATTATTTATTGGTATCACTTTTATTTTTATATGCATGCAGGCAGAAAGCCAATGAGTTGTTGCATCTATTGCATGTAATGAATTGATGTAAAAAATAAAAGAAATTAAATCTAAGTCTGTTTGTTTCTTCAAATTTCCATTAGTTACAGAGTTCTGCTATCCAAGCAAACTTTAAATAAAATTAGGCTTTTAGAAACAATTTCTTCTATCACATGTAGGTGAGACAGAATTGTAGAGATTGTCTGATATTCAAGTAATAAATGTTTTTTAAAATAAATGATGGCAATAAAGTAGTACATATTACCTGATCTTCATTCTCACTTTATACTTTATATAATTTGAATATTATCCAATATCTTGGACATAGTACAAATAAACAAACCAACTTGATGCCCATCAAAACATAAGCTAGATGGCATGGAAGTAACTGTGCATAAGCACAACTGCAAGTGAAACAAGGTCCATAGACACTAGACATTCAAAGTCACAGAATTTACATAACATTACCAAATGGCCAAGCCAGTTTAATAATGTTATGTAGCAATGTTTCATGAGTAAATGATGGTAAGCAGACTGGCACACAATATATGAATACTAGGGTTTCTCACTTCCCGGTCTTTTGCTTGTGGCGGNAGTTATTACCAATTCTTATTATTACTGTATTGTTTTATAAAGGCTTCTTACTATGCGCTGTATTATGAACATTATTTTATTTTGTGTTAAAATAGATATTCATCATTCTAATGTGTTTTGTTATGAGTCCGTACTAGGGTTTCTCATTTCCTGGTCTTTTGCTTGTCCCGGGATTCCGGGATTACATAGAAATTTTCACAAATAAAAAAAAAATTATTAAAGTTTGCTGGAAACTGCATACAACAACAAAAAAAAAAATGCTTTGAATTGAGTTAAAAATTTAAAAAAATGAACTTAGACCAAACTTCTAACTTAGAAGGTAATTTTTGTTTTTTAAATAAAATATAATACAAAATATTGTAAATTTTTATAAGATTTTAAAAAGCAAAGATGGTCAATACGCCAATCACTCAATCTGATTCTTATTTTAGTAATGAAAAGTCCTGCTACCAAGAATGCCCTTTTCGATTCAATTGCCGTGAGTGGAATAATGTTTAATGCATTTAAGAGAAGACAAATATTATGTGTTTTCACCTGTATCCTGAAAGATTTCTAGTTCGTTTTCGAGATTGTAGTACTACTTTTGTTCTCTAGTATTTTTGATTTGTCTACCTCGACTGCTTTAACAGAAACATCATAGCCCAATAATTCAGCAGTTTGTTTGTCTTTAATAATCAGGTTATGAAGAAAAACTTCATACTTGCAGACTTCGTACTCGTTTGTATCCTTCCCCAATTTGCGCAACTTGGCATTACGCAGTTATTGAAGCTACTGGGCATGGTTAAAAATTAAGACAGCATAAGCACAATTATTCTAGATATTACAGGTAAAGAATTTTGAGTGTCCTGCCACAAATAAGCTAAGTATTGATTATTGACCATTTGTGATATGCCATAACGAGCAAAATTTTAAAAAAATCTAATAAGTAGGTTTAAAATTAATAAATACAAAATGTATTCTGACAGTTTATGAGTTAATTATCCTTTCTATTTGCAAAATTTCCTCAACCTTAACACAAAATAAGAAAAAAGTGAATTTTTAAGAAATTTGTGGATTTCCTGAGATAAGAAAAATTTCCTGGGTTAAAAAACAACCGGGATCCCGTTTTGAGAAACCCTAATGAATACAATCAGCTATACTTTATAGATATGCTGAAAGTGCATTGCATTTATTTTTATTGCATCAAAAGCAAATATCAGGCAAAGAACTGCAAGAGATTAATAGATATAGAATTATGATATGATGATAGTATGATGTTTGTATAAAAGATATAGGACATTTATAAAGAAATTTAAAAGAAAACAGACAAAACATAGAATAAGATTTTAAAAAGTAGCAAGTAGCAGTAGTATACAATGGTAAAAACAAAAACAAAGATAGATGATATAATTATATGAATATATATTAAATTTATAAAACAAATTTTAATTTAATTTTAATATTAAAATTTCTCTTTATGTATTATTTTTATAAAGAAATACCTTATGATTTTATGTATTACAAATTTTGGGTCCATTATTACATTAATTAAACAGAATTTTAGCATTATTATTCTTATTATTATTATTACATATTTAATAACAAATGTGAAGTTTGTAAGATTTTATTATACACTTAATTATATTTAGTGATTTCAGCATATATACATACTTATGGAAATTATATAATTGCATGCACAAATTAACTACAAAAATAACCTACCTCACTGCTTAAATATACACTTGATCGCCAATATGGATTAAAAATTGAAGTGAAGCCCGGTATCAACATTTTTTCTATAGGAAATGGATTAAATCGTCCTCGAGTTTTTTTATCTCTCGTGTCAACAGGAAATACTTCAAATTTTTTCATTATTTTTCCTATTCCAACATCATAATAGTTAGATGACTTTTTATCTTTATCAAAACACTTATTTCCATCAGAGTAAATAGAAAACAATAATTTCAAGGCACCATGACTAAGTACAATACCAGCATCTGCTGTGTTGTAGATATTTGAAAAGTCCTTTACAGGATGTCCAAGATAATAAGGATGACTGCTGTTCAAAGAAGNGCTTTCCCGTAAGCCTAAAAGTTTGACAATGGTGTTTGGATAGTCGGTGGAATTACGCTCGACATTCCAAACACCATCGTCAAACTTTTAGGCTTACGGGAAAGCGGCGCCGAACGTCACACGTACACGTTTACACTTTTAAAATGTGCGCCTCAACCTCTCTATTTATTCTGCACCTGGTAAGGCAATCATTTCCATCAATAGCTATACAGGTCGTGTTGTCCCTCAAGACTATTTTGACCCAGGCATTAAATGTACAGGTAGTAAATCTTTTTCTATTTAACTTTTTCACAGTTATTTTAGAATTTATTATTATTACATATTTAATTAGCCCAACTAAAGATTAACTTTTTTCAGGATATTTTTCATGAATCATAAATTGAGTCAGTCTTGTTAATGATTAAGTGTATTACAAATTTTGGGTCCATTATTACATTAATTAAACAGAATTTTAGCATTATTATTCTTATTATTATTATTACATATTTAATAACAAATGTGAAGTTTGTAAGATTTTATTATACACTTAATTATATTTAGTGATTTCAGCATATATACATACTTATGGAAATTATATAATTGCATGCACAAATTAACTACAAAAATAACCTACCTCACTGCTTAAATATACACTTGATCGCCAATATGGATTAAAAATTGAAGTGAAGCCCGGTATCAACATTTTTTCTATAGGAAATGGATTAAATCGTCCTCGAGTTTTTTTATCTCTCGTGTCAACAGGAAATACTTCAAATTTTTTCATTATTTTTCCTATTCCAACATCATAATAGTTAGATGACTTTTTATCTTTATCAAAACACTTATTTCCATCAGAGTAAATAGAAAACAATAATTTCAAGGCACCATGACTAAGTACAATACCAGCATCTGCTGTGTTGTAGATATTTGAAAAGTCCTTTACAGGATGTCCAAGATAATAAGGATGACTGCTGTTCAAAGAAGCAACATAATATCTCAAATTTTCAACAATAACATATGTTTTATCATCAACAATCACCATCCATTTAATGGAATCCTCATATTTTATCCACGCCGACACGAACCCTTGACAAAAAGCTTGAAACGGAATTGGCGAAACTTTTAAAACAGGAATTTCTTCGTCGACAAAACTTCCAAGATTTACGGCAAAATTACAATGCTTAGCCCAAGTCTCTTTAACAGCCATGGCAGTTTTATGCGATTTAACAAATATCATACATAAAACAGGGATCTTTTTTTGAAGATACATTGCTTCCGTCTCAATTGCATTTTGTGCAAAGCTTATATTTTCTTCAGGAATGGCTTTATGCATTAAACCATTTTGCTTTAGCCATTTTCCATAACTGGTATCTACAAGAGATGAAGAATAATGATTAAACGAGAGAGAAAACTTTACAGTTTGTTCATACTGTCTCCATACAAAAGCAAATAGAAATCCAGAGATGCAAGCAAAGATAAATAAAAACATCCGACTCTGGTATATTCTGGAACAATCGCTTATACAGATCATGCTGAAGTTTTTGAAGTAGTCACATTTATAAAATTATTCCATTATAAACTTTTGAGAATATAAAATAATAACCTATAAACAAAAAGTATAATGGTTAATAGATAAATAATTGTATTAAAAAAAATATAAGAGTAAGTTTCAATTATCATGTTTATAAATTTTAAACAGTTTAAATAACAGTACAAAGTACTTATATAACTATTCAATTTAAGCTTAAACATAAAACTATGAAATTTAAGCATTAAATTAAAACAATTTGTTGATGATGATGATTTCAAATCATTTAAATTCACTAAATAATTTTAATAAATTATATATTTAAGTATATTTATTAACACGTATAAAAATAAATAGAAAATATTTTAAAATTTTAATCATAAATTGGAACAATAAATCTCGGTTTAAATATTTTCATTTAATTTAAAAATAGTCGTTTATTGGTGAATTACATTCTAAATTAACCAATTATGAAACAAGAATGGGCCTCAAAAAGGAGACCATCCCTATAACTAATTCCCCCGTCTCTAAAAAAAAAAAACAAATAATAATAATAAGAATTGCTATAACAAATAAATATATTTTGTTACCAATGGCATAATAACGCATAAAAAGAATTTTCTGTTACGCATTGTTCCAAATACATAAAATAATTTCAGTTTCATAACGACATAGTTTCGTTTATACTCACTTAAATATTTGTATTTTAAAGAAAACCACGAATTTTAAAGTTTTGAACAAATCAATTAAACTAACTTTGATACAATTTAACGTTCGATATTTAAAAATTATAATATTTGATCACAGAAATCGAGCCAATTAATACATCTCACAATAACCGTTTTTAATTAAAGTATTGCATCAATAAATCGAGGAAAAATATATACAGTATATGAATGGTACTTACTATTGTATAAATTTACCTTGCGACTATAATATGGTAAATATATAGAATCAGTCATTGATTGAGAGCTATGCTCACTTAGCGACGGATACATTTTATCGTTTAATAATTCATATATATATAAATTCGATTAAAAAAAAGGTAAAAGATTTCGACAGATGCATGTTTAGCACGCCACACGAAAGTAACTACTGTAGTTATACAGTCTGCCTACCCTCTTCCGCTGGATGCGAGTGTAGAAGTGGATGACGTCACAGACGAGTTTTTAAGTTTTTCCGAGTGGCCAGGTGCACAGAATTTTAAATTCAATGTTGCAAAGTTGTATAAAGCCAAAATCAATTCTTTCAAAATATAATGTTTTTCATAAGAATTTGGACGATGTTATTTATTTTAGAATTTTATTATTTAATAGTTACGTTTTCGTCACGGTTGAAAGTACTTTTCAAAACATTTTATAAACAGCATACAAAAAAAAAGAAAAAAAAAAAACATACTGGAAATTTATTTTTATAAAATTCACTTAGCGTAAAAATATACTGGTTTTTCAATTTTCAACTCCTTTTTTTTGTGTGTGTAGTGGATTGAGATCATAAATAACTATGAAACTATTTATAACTGAAGTATAATTGAGTTTTATATATTTACTTTTTATATATAATTATATGATCAGTTCGAAAATACAAATTCATCTAATCTGTTTTAATGTAATAAAACAAACGTCGTTTTTAAATAATTAGGTCTATTATTCTTATTCATAGTTAATTAATTAAAATATACTGTAATGCGAGCGAATCTGAGGAAACTGTTAAAAGATTTCTCAATAAAATTTACCTAGAAAAATAAGGAATCAATTTTTGTTCAGTTATTCCTTGACACGTGTACAGTACATGTATTTTGAACCGTTATTAATATATTATTACGGTTATTTAATACTTAGATACAAAATAAATTTACCGATGCCAAGAGAATATATTGTAAACTAAGTCGTATATTTATAATTTTATTAAATAATAAAATCTGAGGTAAAAATATAAATTAAAGAAATGTATTGCACATTTTTAATCAAATAATTTTATAAATACAATATAAAAATAGATCAGTTTTTAATCAAAGTAGAAATATAGTTCAAATATTTTTAGTTCGTTCTACAAATGACTGATTTATGATCTCCTAATATAATACAGATGTTCTAAAAGGAAGATGTAGAAAAAAAAAGTCATTGACTCAAGTGAAATTTAATCCCTTTCCTTCAGAAATATATTAAAGCAAATAATAACTTAAAAATATCCTTGACAGCAGTATTAAATAGTCACTTAACTAACAAGTAAGTAATATGACATCTGGGACTAATTATGATTACATTATATATTACTACTGTTACTTTTACTCATTTTATAATAAATAAAAATGGATGATTTTTTTTTTTGTTTCACCCTGCAGAAAACTAGGTTTTAGGGGAGAATTTAGAAGAGGGAAAATAGGATTTGGTTTATATTGGAATAGCATCTTTTTCTTTTTGTTCCATAAACATTTTATTTACTTTTCATTACATGCTGTGATAAAGATATGGCACCAATTTGTAATATTTAAACATATATACTCTCTCTTCTTCTTCATATAAACATGTCAAAATTTCTTTAAAATTCAAGAATTTTCATTATATTTCCAAATTTGAAAAATGACTAATTTGATCCTACCCTCCATACTATAATTTTACTATATTTTATATTAATTTAAATTTATAATATTTTAGAAGTAAATAAACATATAGCAAAGTAATAAAACAAAGGATAAAAAGAAACAAAAATCTTTGTTCTTGATCTTGCTTAACTAGTTAAAATTTAGCTAATGCTGTATTGCTTATAGATAATGAAGAGAAGAAAATGCTCCACAACATATACAACAGCTACAAAGCACTTACAGGAAACAAAATGTTATCCATTTTAAGTGGCCATATTACTACTCCTAGAATTAATTTAGTCCATCAATATTCTGAGTATAAATTTATTATAGTAGTAAACATGTTGTAATAGATTCAATTTATTCATTTAGATTTAAAATATTGCAGCTAATGTATCTATTTCTAGGAGTAAAAAATTTTATACTTTGACATTTTTCTGGATAAATCCATCATTTGGAATTATACAGTATAGATTATTTGTTCACCATATATTTCTTTTATTAATTATAGTTATATATGAGAATATTTAAAGATATTAAATCAAGCAGTAAAATATTCTAGTAAAGAACATTTATTAGAAAAACAATTTATTGAAATATTAAAAAAACAATGTATAAAAATATATTTACAGTAGATAAAAATATGTAATATATCCCTTTCAATTACAAATTTGTATATAAAATACAATGAATTGTCCTCTATAAAGCGTAATTAAAACCCTGATAAAATTTACTCTTACATTTTTTGATGAATCATCAAACATCTGTAACAAATCTGCTACTGCATCCACAGTCATATACTCATATATATATATATATATACAGGGTTTATCAGAATGATGTTTTAAAAATCTGGGATTGTAGAGGATGAAATTTTGAATGTTTTGCTATAAGGAACTTATAGCCGGAAATTTGAACTAAAGTGTCTACAGCGGTAGGAAGTGCTTGACCCGCCCTTCACATTGGTAGCTACCCTTCCGTCCATTGGCGTCATGTTATTGCTGCAGATGGAAGACTGTAAATACACAGTAGTCTAACTGAGCCTGTGTACTGAACGTTGTGTACTTAGTGCTTGTCATCCTTTAGGTCACCCCTTGCATCCACTGGCGCTGTGCTGTAAACACACAACTAGTCAACATGAGCCCCTTGTGTACGCAACACTTGTAGGAGCAGTTCGCGAGCTTACAGAGCGCATCTTTACAGCATTTAATACCATCAGAGGAGAGCGTGGCATCTTACAGAGTGTTGGACAAAATATGGTTCGTTGTTGCACATTATGTAATGAAGTTGGTGGTTGTCACATTGAACATTTACTCTAAAGTAGTGTAGCCACTGATTTGATGACAGTTTGATTGTACTCTACTGTTTTGTCAATAAAACTTGTCATAAATATTGTATTCTGCTGTTTTGTTCAGCATACCGACCACATAGAACATGCAAAGTGCTGTAGAAACTTTATATCACATTTCTGGCTATAGGTTCCTTATATCAAAACGTTCAAAATTTCATCCTCTACAATCCCCCAAATTTTTAAAACGTCATTCTGATACGCCCTGTATATATATATATAATCATTTGCTATTATTTTCACAATCTTCAATAAAGTGATGTCAATTCATATATGTGGTTTGAACTGAAAATGTTTAAGGACATAGAAATAATATGAATTGTTTTTAAATATCACTTAACAGTTCTCTTATATAAAATGATATTTGTTATGATTTATCATTAATTTCTATCAATTGACAGTTAACATTTGCAAATACTTTTAAATGGTAAGTTTAAAGTAGGAAATGATTCTGAAAATATTTTCAGAATCATTTCCTACTTTAAACTTGCTTTAAATAAACCCTTAGTAATTTCAGAATCACTCATCTCCTCTGGAATCTATATAAAATAATGCATAAACTTTGCAAAGAACTATATTACAAACCTTAAAAGTGCTAAGGGCTTTGTACTGACATCTAAATATAAGCCTGTTTTATTTGTTGATAAATAAATCATTTTAATCATTTTAAATCACTATCAAGTTTATTTCCAAATACTAGTTATTTTCATTGGAGAATCAATATCTTTCATTTATAATAGTTAATTCTGCATAAAGTAAACTTTAATTTTCAAAATATAAAAATTATTACATGAAAATGAAGCAATTTTTTAGCCTATTTTATAGATTCAGTGTACATCACACAAATGCATAACAGACTGGATAATACCTGAACTTTGCTCATTAGGAATAGAGCTGAATTATGATGTAAGTAATTATAACTCCATGGCCTATATTCCATTTAGTCATTAATTTCCATGGACAATTCACAATTAAGTACAACAAAATAGATGAGAAAAATGAGGAATAATCTTAAACAGTTCTCTACAAATCATGTGAATATTGATGAATTTTTAATCTTTATCTCTGTAGTGATGCAGCAGTACAGCAAAACCATTCAATTGCATATTTTATAACAATACTTATAAGCAAATATTGTTATAAACATAAATAAAAATTACTATGTAATATAATGTTCAGAACCAATCATGTATGTTTTTAGAATGATAAATAATGTTATTGCAATGAAATATTTATTCTATTCAATTCATTGTTATTTATGAAATAACAACAGAAACAGCTATTTTATTCTTTAAAAGAATGCGTTTTTCTTACATTTTTACAATTTATTATATTAAAGAGTTTAAGCTTTTTTACTGCCACAAATTCTATTTCCTATTAACATGCAATTTATTACTCTTCTTATGTATATATTAAAATTTCTTTAAATAGCCTATATTTTAAAGTATTTAGTTGATGCCATCACATAGTTACATGCATTATAAAATCATATTCAATTTTATGATATTCATTAAGTCATTTTTATTTTAGTAAACATCTTGTGTTTTTTATTATTTCTGAAGAAACTTCCATCAATTATTTTTAAATAGATATATATAAGTTCATTTAAATAAATGTATAATATCAAAAAGATATTTTACCATATANACTTATATATATATATATATACAGGGTTTATCAGAATGACGTTTTAAAAATTTGGGGGATTGTAGAGGATAAAATTTTGAACGTTTTGATATACAGAACCCATAGCTGGAAATGTGATATAAAGTTTCTACAGCACTTTGCACTTTGTGGTTGGTATGTTGAATGAAACAGCAGAATACCGTATTTATGACAAGTTTTATTGACAAAACAGTAGAGTACAATCAAACTATACAGTACATCGAATCAGTGGCTGCATGCACTACTTTAGAGTAAATGTTCAATGTAACAACCACCAACTTTATTACTTAATGTGCAATGACAAACCATGTTTTGTCCGACTCTCTGTAAGATGCCAAGCTCCCCTCTGATGATATTAAATGCTGTAAGGATGTGCTCCATAAGCTCATGAACTGTTCCTACAGGTGTTGCATACACAAGGGACTTTACATAATCCCAGAAGAAGAAGTCAAAAACAATAACATGACGTCAATGGACGGAAGGATATCTATCAAAGTGAAGGGCGGTCAAGTACTTCCTACTGCTGTAGAAACTTTATATCACATATCCGGCAAATGGGTTCCTTATATCAAAACATTCAAAATTTCTACAATCCCTGTATATATATATATATATTTATATATATGAGGATTTAGTTCATTACAAAAATATAAAATTTAAATTGTTTCATTAACTTATTTTTGAAACTATAACTAAGTTATAATTTTTATATAATTTTAATTAGAAAAAGTTTACAATCATTTTATAAACAAAAAATCCAACTGAGCCCATTAAGGTAAGAATTACACTTAACACAATAAACCTCACTTTCCAATGATAATTATTTGATTTTAATTTATCAATTATTTCTGTGACTTGTTTTTTAGTTTCTTCATAATTACCAGAGTTATCAATAACAAAGTCTGCCATATTACATTTTTCTTTCAATGGCATTTGAGCACTAATACGTTGAAGTGAATCAAATTCTGAAAATCCATTTCTTCTCATCAGTCTAGTTAACTGTTGATTTTCATCACTAGAAAAAAAAATCATTCAATTAAATAGTAATTCTATTGAATTAATAAGACATTAATAAAAACAAATAAATCACACACACTTGTTCATATAAATTTATTAGTCTTTTTCATGATTTTTATAATAAAACAAGTTTGTGGACAGTTATGAAAATTAATGTAAATATATTTCATACAATGATTAAGTAAAAAGTGTCAACAGTGCTTACTATTATGCATATATTACTTTCCAGATGTTTCAGAATATACCATAGGGAAAGTATGATGATCAGTCAAATTTTGATTCCTCCAGTTATTTTTTCATTTGTTAATGTTTTGACACTTGAGGAGCCCAAACATGCAATAATAATATTAAAAAAGAACTTTACAAAAGTCTGTGTAATAATAATGTAAAAAAAAATCATTACAAAATTGTGTGTGTGTGTTAGTATGTCAGTATCTATTTTGCATTACATCTTAGGACTAGATGCACCAAAAAATTTGAAACCTGGCAGGGTTATTTCTATATATGGGGCATTGATGCTATTAAATTTTGGTAGTTAAAGGTCAAGAAGGTGGAGAGTAAAAAGATGGAGGGGGTCAGACTTAATGAAAATTTTACTGGTTATTGGCATTTTCAATTTTTTTTTTAAACTCATCTCTATCCTCAGAATTAAGCTTCTTATCTTTTTATAATAGTTAATAATATAAAATTACTTTAAAATAATATTTCATAACAGATTTTAACATTTCATTAATGTGTCTTAGCAGTTTTTAAACTTAAATATTTTTTAAACAGAGAAACTTCTCATAATTCAACAAAATTATTTCTAATAATAAACAACGCTTTTTACCCATGACTATAAATTAGATAGAATTAGATAACCTAATAAATAGGGTATAACAATTTGCAGGGCTTATCACACCAAGGCTGACAGAAAGGACTAGAACTTATATAAAAAAAGGTTGGTCTTTAATAATCACATTTCAAATTTAGGTAAGTATGCATTTTGGGTATCCAAAATGCATACTTACCTAATAATTTTCAGTTATATCCTAGTATAACTGAAAATTATCAGACTTCCTAAGGTTTTATAGGACTTCCCTTAACCTCCAGTTCAACTGTTGGGAAAGTCAAGCAAGAGCCGTTGCCAGATTAATTTTTCTTGTTGACAACCAGACTGTTTTGTTTGTTAAATTCTTTAAACCAGCCACAAACCTTCAGCTCAAAATAGCAATTCTATTTTACAAAAGAAATCAATAAAAGAATTGCTGTTTTCAGCCTGGTTTGAAGTTCAACAGATGAAGATGTTCTAGTCTAGTCAAGAAAGAAAAATACAAGCAAATTCACATCAAAACAAATAAGAAATACAAATATTACTATTGCTATTATTATATATTATTAGTAATAGTATTAATGAGTCTTGAAATTGTTTCATAAACCACAAACTAGACAACAATTCTGTAATGTGAATGCTACAAAAAAATTATGCTTACATAAAAATATGTATGTATGAGAAGTATAAAATATTAAATATAGTCTTCTTTAAAATTAATTTTTACAAAAGCAAAAAAGTAATACAGGAGTGCATAGTGATAATTCATTCTGTATCATTTGATCTATCCTATTCAATTGAGTTGATTTGTATAACAATGACAATACCTTTTACTCACAATATATATAAAGTTTCTGCCATTAAATCTTTTTTATTTACAATTTATAGAAAATATTATTTTTAACCATGCCATTTATTATAATTAATTATGTTTTAATAAATTGTCAAAACTCTTCACTTTGTTTTGATTACTCCTACACTATAAATTTATAATTTATATTAAAGTAATTATTAATTCAATTTTAATTACTTTTTTCTTCAGCTATTGTTGCTGTATGTTAATAGAGTTACTACAAATCTTCATTTATGTAGACAAATCCTCATTTTATGAGTAAAAATTACTGTCTACATAAATTTTTGTAAATTCTCCATTTTTCTGTATTTCCAGTGACTGGATACTTTACTTCACTATAGCAATATCCCATATAAAAATAGGAGATATTCTATATTGATAGAGCATAGCATTAAATTTATAATTTAGAAGTTGGCTACCTAACCAATTACATTGGCAGTTGAGTAGTGTTTCCACTTCCAATATTATATTTTTAGTATCTTTTTTGTTTTTATTTCTAGTTTCCTGTTTCAGTTCTGATTTTCATTAGAAACCAGTAATAATAATAACCAATAATATAATATATAATCAATAATACAATATGATATAAAATATCACAGTAGTTGAGTAAATATAACATTGTAATCCAAATAAAATATATTTACAAAATTTAAATTTCATCACATATAGCAATTTCCAAACTTAAATACTGCCATTACATTGATAATCAATACGTCCAGATGTAAATTATGATCTAGAAAGATTTCTGAAACTCTGAAAGATATATTTAGAAACCTTCTGAAGAAGTTTAATGTAACTGTGCAGCTGCCTCATTTTATGCTGGTTTGATTTATTCCACTAACAATAATGCTGGTTTCAAACTTTCCTGAAAATATTTCAAAAAATTTTTTCCACAATTTGTAGAATATTTTTTGCAAATGCTAAATGAAATATTTTTTCACACTTAGTGGTAGCACTAGGAATAACTTTGCTTTAATAATGATTCTAAGCAGTGTTGGTTTGTTTATTATTTTAAAGTGTTTATTGTTTACATGATATTTCATCATTTTAAAGTGAAGTTATTGTGTAATAATAAGAATAGAAAATGAACAGCTGTGACAAATATTGATAAAAGGAAATAAGTGAATCCAAATGTCCAAGTCATCAAGAAATCATGTTAGTCCTAACTTTAGAATACAGAATGGAAATCATTTGCTAAACGAAAGGTGGTTGAAGTGGGTATAATGTTTGTAGAGCTATAAATTTGTCTCCACTGACTGATGATCATATCCAAATCCAATGATCATATGAAAAATGTAGAGCAAATAAAAGTTCAATACATGTTACTAGAGTGTTTGTGATGCAAGGGAACTATTTCTCATTGTAATTATTACTATTGTGAATGGAAGATTTAAACTAAAAAATATTCGATTGAGTCAGTCTTATCACAAATATTCAATAGTTTAACGTTATTTTTGTACTTTGTATTAGTAAAAATTTCAGTGCATTCTCCCCTACTTAAGAACATTCAACTTATGAACTTTAAGACTTGTGAACAATTTGACTGTATGTCTAAAATCTAAGTTTTGTGTGGATTCTGAAGTTCTCTTGGCACTAATAGGATAGTATTTAAATCAGTTTTTGTTTTTGCACAAATTCTGAGATTCCATTGCCACTTGTGAAGTGGCATTGAAGTTGATAATGTTGGAGAAATGGTGTTTATCATTAATGTTTGTAATTTTTATAATCTTTTATGATCAATGCTCAAAAATGCATCCAAAATGTAATGGTAAATCTAGCAGTGGAAAAAAATATAAGAAGTGTCACTTTATTACCATGGAAATTAAACTGGACATTATAAAATTAAGTGCATTAAGTGAAAATAACCATTTTTGCCAAACGATCGCCTAAATATCGGGCTATAATAAGGCGATCGTTTGGCAATTTTAGTATGTATTCAGGCTTTGTGTTGTTGTTATTTATAACCATTTTTGAAACACCTGCTACTAAGCAATAGCAAGTAGGTAAATGAGCTGGTCTTTCAGTGTATTCTATTAAATACATTGAAAGACCAAACACTAAAAATAAGTAGTTATTCTATGTACAAATGCACTTTCTGGATTAGTTTTTGACTTATGACAAAATCTCANTTCAACTTTTTTCAAAATTATACATCATTTTTTAACATACATTTTGTTCTTTTTCTTTTATTTAAAAGTGTTTACTAAATCCAAAACTGTTTTCAATAATTTATCATTTTATATATTTAAATCAACAAAAATCAAATCAGATCTACCAGTAGTTAAAATTATCTTTATTTTGGTTTCATATTATTATTGTGTATTATTGTATCTCATTTCAGAAAATAAAATGCTCCTTGTTTGTAGAATATTCTATAATATTACATTTTATCATTTATTTTGTGGTAATTATCATTCTGATTTAGCATTATTTAATATAACTGTAATTATTCATCATCTGCAAATGATTTTGCAAAAAAGAAATGCAATTACTAAAAATTTGTAGAATTTGATCCTTTACCACAGTTTCCACTAAATCTAATATTTTTCTTTCATAAAAATATCCTTGGATATCTTATATATTATTAAATGTGTAATTGTTTGCTTGAAATAAGCAATTATATGAAGTTTAGAATAAATAATAAGTTTAAAACACATTTATTCTGAAATATATTTGTTACATATTTAGTTAAGAATATAATCAATTCAAAGAAACATAAGTAGATCGAAATTACTCAAACTTAACATTATGCTGGTCACATAGAGTGATGCTATTATTTGTTTAGAACCACAAGTTTTTGATTTTGTAATAATCCTCAATATGTATAAATGTATATACATATATATATATATTTTATGTTATCTGCTGTTTGCTTCTCAATAAGATTTTATATCAAGAAAGAATAAACTTCTTATGAAGGTTTTCAAAATAAAAAAATATACATCTACTATATACATATAATAGATTTCTTTTACTGGAAAAATTGATGTTAATGTGTGCCCTAAATTCCTATCACAGATTCTAGAAAGGTTAATAAAACTCTTCTTACATAAATTGCTGACCTTAACAGATTTCAATTTATATTGCTTGTCATTTTGAAGGTCATAAACAATTTTTAAAAAGTGTACAATATTGAAGATTACAAAAATAATTTTTTTGAGGTCTTCTGGACATCCATTCAAAATAATTTATAAATATATTTTGTTCTGGCTTTTTAATCTTTATTTTACAAATTTAAAAAAAAAAATTATGAGAAAAGTAATGTGTAAACATTAAATGAATAAATAAATGCTTATATTCACATATTTGATTTACTAAGAGTTGATTGTTAATGACTTTTGTATTGCTCAGTACCTCAAAATTAAAGCAAGAAATGGAAATCTTTATATTTAAATTTTAATTACTGTAGCACAGTTTTTATCATTTAAATTATTCGATATATTTTATATTAATGATTTAATTGAATCTTTTAATTTTCTATAATAATTCTTTTATATTTCTTGTATATCTGTTTAGAATAAGAAATATTAAACTCCTTTCAGGGGAAAATTTTTGAACTGAAATAATGCGACTTCCAGTTTGCATTGGAAGTTCATATATAGTTAATCGGGGCATCCTGCTCCTAAGCTTTCCACATCTGGTCTTGAGTTTCATTTATCTAATATCATTCTCAGGATTAAGGAACGACAGATGGACAACACTGGGAATTTATAGGTCTACAATTTTTTCAAATTGCAGACTAATATATATATTCAATCTCTTTCTACATTAATACCTCATCATCATCAAATATTTATGCTATTACATAATTTTTTGATAGTTTAATGTTATATTTTATTTACAATTAACTATACAATTTCTTATTATATCTTAAGAAATTAATTATTAGTTCTTAAATCACAATAATTATTTAGTAGGATTATTAATTATTCCTTAATTTTTTCGTTGTATAATCTATAATTTATACTATAGGCTTAGTTATTCATTAACATCATTGTTAAATGAAAAAGTGATGTGATTAACTATTATGAAAACAAACTTCAAATAGATATACTTAGTTTATTTTCTAATAGAGTCAACTGATTTTTTAATAGAGTTAATAAAAATATATAAGATGTTACGATGGTGGTTCATTTCCTTTAATGATACATGAGAAGGAAACTTAAATTTATATGCTATGAACTTGTTTCTTTATTATATTTTTGAGATCTGTCTAGCTTTTCAGCTGCCACTGAGCTAAGAAACAAAATTGTTATGTTTGAATTTTATATGCTTTTACTTTTCACAATAATCACAAATTACTTATGTTAAAAACTGCAATAAATTTAGCTTAGTTGACATGCAAGGGCTAAACAGCTTAACTTTTAAACTACAAAGATCAAATATCTTGATAGACAGTAAATTAATTAGATTACTACTAAAAAAATTTGCCAAATCTATTTCTTTCATATTTTATGCAAAAAGTATTTTCTCTATAAGCAATAATAGAATTTTTCTGAAGTTTTAGAGTTGATATATTTAAAATATATGCTATTATTATTACATAGACCATTTTTAAATGGTGGAGAATTTGATGGTTTTTTTTTTTTTTTTGTTTCAACTTTTTTCAAAATTATACATCATTTTTTAACATACATTTTATTCTTTTTCTTTTATTTAAAAGTGTTTACTAAATCCAAAACTGTTTTCAATAATCATAATTAACCTATGCATTTCACAAGATTTCTTAGAAAATGTTACCAAAACAAGATTATTTTTATAAAGAATTGTAAAAATAATGGCATTGGTTTCCACTTACAAAAATTAAAATCTGTACTTTTGTTTCTTTTTAAAAAGCATGTTTCTGTGATTTGTGGATAGATAAAAATTATTATAATTTAAATTTTCTATCTCTATAGGACTGAACATTTTCTGTATAAAGAATAAGATTAGATGTTAAAAGAATACATTATTATTTCAGTTTTTCCATTCACTATTATCACAAATAGACCTTTTATGCTTTCTTTTCATTCTAGCAGCCTCAACATTTAGCTGATAACAATATCATTAAAGTTATTGTTCTGAGGAAACTTTGGAATTTGTTCACAATAGTTTAAACTGCTGGCATAATACTAACTGTTGTTAAAGTTAGTAACAGAAACTATACTGGATGATTTATTTATTTATTATTATTAATAAACTTCCAAATTATATATTTTCAAATTGTTTTAACATGTCCTTTTAATTCCAGAGTCAATAAAACCAGAATATTCTCTAATTGTAGTCTTATCTACTTATTTTGCATAAGGTTATGTCATCAGTTTAAGAGTCTTGAAATGATTACAATATACTATACTTACTGTACTCCTATTGCAAAACTTATTTAGTAGCATAGTGAAAATTTATCAAGAAAAAATATCTTGAAATGCTATAATGCATAACAAACTAACTGACTTAATAAATTAAAATTTAGTTAATGAAATTTATATCACCGACATAAGAGGATTTGATCAAATTATTTTTTTTAGCAAGGAACATCAATTCACATCAATGCTTGTCTTATCAGATCATCTTTATTTCATCAATTGCCATATATGCATTTTAGGAACTTTCTTTCTCTGTTCAGTATGGCTCATTTTTCTTCTGTTTCTTAGCAACAAGACATCTCTGCAGCAGATTTGCATAAAACTTTAAGACTCTTTATCAGTGGCAGAATCAGAAGTACCCAAAGAGAAGGGCTAACTCAAATATTTTAAAATAATTAATAAACCAAAATAGATCACCTTCCTCACTTTCTCCAGCAAATTTTTATTATTGTTTGTTTTGTAATAAAAATTTGCCATAAAAATTGAGGGTGATCTATTGTGGCTTAGTAGAAAAGTTCCAGCTTTTGGAAGAATAGTTAATAAATATCTTTTATTAACATGTGCATGACAGTTGTATCATAGATGGTTTGATAAACAATATTTGTTGTCATAAATATTTTTAAAAACATTCTGAACAAATAAATTTTAATTTTTTTTTGTGACAATTGGAAAGGCTTAAGACCCTATAGCCCACACTCTATCTACTACTACTATTTATTATGCAAATTACTGCAGAGATGTATTGTCAATAAAAAAAAAACAAGTGAAAGAAATGCACCATACTGAAGAGGAAAAGGAAGTTCCCAAAACATATTTATGAAAATTGATGAAATAAAGATGATCTGACAAGGTAAGCATTAGTGCGGAGTGACATTCCTTCCTAAAGAAATAATTTGCAACATAGAAATTACAACACAGTCCAAAGTATAACTATCCTATGATATATTTACTTATCATGTATCATTTTTAATAATGAAACAGGCTTTGCAAAATATTTTTCATATAACTCAAATATTTTAAATAAATCTCATAATGAATTACATCAATCTGAGCTTTTATGGTATGTTTTCTTAAGGAATACCTTTGTGATTTTGAGTATCAATTATAAAAACCTAACTTGGATTTAGATTTATAAATGTTTTAATTATAAAATACGTTACCTGATGTCAACTGTTTTACAAATTTTATTAACTATGGATCACATGTTATACTGTTTATGTTTAAGTATAAATTAAAATAATGGAACAAGTTAATAATGTAGATTTTAAAATCAAATTGAAAATTATATTAGATAATTTCAAAACTGATTCTTGTTACCACTAAAATTAACATTTTTCAAGAAATTTAGCAACTAATTTTAAGCCAATGATTATAAAACATTCATCTATGATATTTTCTTTGTAAGGAAATGTTTTATCTTCAATGAAAAATCTTTCATATATACATATTTTTACAAAATTTTTACATAAGTAATAAAATGTAAATACAGTATATTTCTATGTTTTAGTTATATTGCTAGAAAATTCATTAATCACAACAAAAATGTAGAAAATAATATAATTTTTCTTGTTCATTTTATGAGTCATCTTCAAAATAGAAGCTGTATTGTCTTTCACTAATCAAGGATTCAAAGTAGGCTATTTTTGTTTTCATAAAGAAACTTTGTTAACTTTATCATTTAGTGATGCATTGTATAGCCATATGCAATATTTAACAGCAAGAAAAAAAGCTTTCATTAGAAAATTGAAAATTATTAAATTTCATTAAAACTTAAAATTTTTCTACATTCCAAATAATAGATCCTGTCCAATAATTTGAGAGCCATTAAAATAACCAATAAAATTTGCATATAGATATTGCAAAGAAATAATTCTATCAGTTAAATTTTTGAAGGTTGCAAAAATATCTAATGTAAGTTTTATAATTAATAATATTAAAAGCATTTACAAGCCAGAATTCTTTCACAGACTCTATGCAGAACAATATTGTTTAATATTTTTATTCTTTCAATTCAATAAAATTTTTTTTTATAATCTATAAATATGAAACGATTGANTAATATATTTAATATAAAAGTTTCAAGTTTATAAATATATTTTTGAAAAATATTAATTTTTAAATGAAATTAAAAACCTATAATATCGTATTCATATTTTTAATGTCATTGAAGTATTTCATTAAAATTTTTTAATCTGTTAGGCTTATCTCGAGTTATTACTTTTTGATTTTAAAATTTCATCATAATTATCATTAATAACTTAAATTTTACACATTAAATCATATTTATTAATGAGATCAGAAATCTTTCAAATAATCTAAAGTATAATTAGGATCCATATTACAACATACAAGTGAATTTATTCAGAATGGAATTTTCTTTTTTTGTTAAAATTTGATTAAAAACAGGAAAAGGTTTAAAATATATTAAATTTGAATAATTTTTAAAAAAAAAAACACAAAGCAATTTAAAAGCAACAGAGCATTAAAATTGTCATTTTAATCATAACTTAATTATTATATCAATATATATATATATTTATATATAATATTCATATGTATATATATTGAATAGGAAAAACACTTGTAAAACAGCAATATTGCAAGCAATAATGTTCATTATAAAATCATGAATATTTTTCAACAATTGTATTTACATGCATATTTTGAAGTTTGCAATATCTTTTTTTTTGTAAATAAATAAGAATACATTTAAAATGCATCCATGTCTTTAAGAATTACATTTGAGTATATCAATATAATTCATAACTTAAAAATAAAATATAGAATATGTATACTTAATAAAAAATTCATTTAAAAAAAACCTAAAATATATCTGGCTGGAAGCACTTAAAGAAAATTACCAATTGACTATACAAGATTACTTATGAAACATTTGTGCAGAATTTTGAAAAAATTGCATTATGATCATGTTATCAACTATGATAGTAACACTTTCCAACTACTTAACATTAGATGAAATTTTGTTCTATAAACTATCATCATCAAGTGTTTGGCATATTGGAATGCAAGTGACTACTATCTGACATATCGTCAATGTTCCTTGTTGGAAGTGTGAAAGTTTTAACTGTACTACTAGTGGTTACCATACTTGTACAGACTGGTCCAACACTGATGCTACTATCTGAAACATTACTGACTACCTGATTAGATGCATCACAGTTGGCAGTGCTACTAGTGCTGTGAGGTGGTCTGGGTAATCTTCTGCGTAACCAAGAATGACGAAGAGCAGAACTTGGTATCATCCTAATAGATGGATCCCAAGTAAGACAACCCTTTAAAAAATCTATAAATAAGAGATCATCACATCCTTTTAATGCTGTCACCCAATCTTTACTTCCTGGTGGACCTCTGACTTTACCCCTTCGTGATCTTCCACCATTTAATACCACAGTACCGTTTGGTTGTGCTGTTACTGTACAGTAACGAGGATAACCTTTTGAACTAATAAAATTTTTAGTATTTTTTGATTGATCTAACAATTTTTGTGGGGGCATACCTAACAATTCCATCATACATGATAACTGATCTGCTTCATCTTCACCAGGAAATAATGGACATCCAGTCAGTAATTCTGCAAGTATACATCCTAAGCTCCACATATCAATTGGCATACCATACTTACTACCTAAAATTACTTCCGGAGCACGATAAAATCTGGACTGTATATATGTATATACACGCTGATGCTCAAAACAACTCGAACCAAAATCTATTACCTTTATACTGCTTCTTCCTTGTTGTTTCAATAGCACATTTTCTGGTTTTAAATCACAGTGAATTATTTTATTTCTATGTAATGCTTCAAGACATTGGAGCAATGAATGTGCAAACTTCCTAACTAATTGTAAACTAAATCCTTGAAATTTATTCTTTTTTATAAGTTCATATAAATTAATGCTCAAAAGTTCAAAAGTAATGCATATATGATTTCTGAATATAAAATGATCATACATATGAATGATATTCATTGTATTATCTTTGTCTTGTTTTCTTAAGTGATCTAAAATGCGTATTTCTTCCTGAGCTTGTCGATGAAATCTCTTTTCATTTCGTACCATTTTCAGAGCAACATGCTGATGACTTTTATGATCATAAGCTTTCACTACTTGTCCGAAACTACCCTTCCCAATAATTTTTAGCATTTCGTAACGATAAGCTATATGATCGTGTGGAACGTGTTGATACGATCCCTGATCGTCGTCATAACCACAGTTGTTTAGTGCTCCTATAACTCCCTGTCGTTTTTTTGCATTGGCACCAATGAAATAAATTTGCGGATAATTAAATATTTCGTGATGTTCGTAAGGTGTTAATTTGTGCATATATAACTTCATCACTTGTTCGGGAGTAGCAACTAACGGTTTGGATTTCGACAAATTACTTTTACTACTGGATGTCGACAAATTCTCTATGCTAGTAGCAGGACGGACATCTGGTAACTGAGGAACTGTCGTTCTGGTTACTTCATTATGTCTCACAGTTAAATATTGAGGTATTGATTGACTTTCTCCAACAGATTGATATTGAGTATTACTTGCTTTGGTGCTTCCAATAGTATTTGTTTTCATAGATAACATTTTAGCCTTATCTTCTGATATTTTAGGTAGAAAAGATTCACTGTTAGTAGAATTTGGTGTCCCATTGATACTAGTGAATAGAGATCTTGTTCTGGAAAGAGGCATAGATGCTTGTTGTTTGTTTGGCATTTCAATTTCAACGTTCTTGGGAGAGAAGAAGACATCGAACGAGTTTAATGTATGCTAGTTTTATATATCAGCAATGTATTGTTTTTTATATATTTAAACATCCTTCTACTATCTATATTTAACGACCAAAAAATATCAACATATTCCTTACTTAGAAAATACACAAAAGACTTCATATCAACAACTGACAACTCGGTCCTTGCTCTGTTCGACGACTCGTCTGACGTCGAGTAAATCTAGCCAATAGAATGACCGATAGGTCTTTGATCTCTGTGACGTTAGAATTTCAACCAATAGAACGAGTGCTAACTAATACAGCTGATTTACCAGTCGGAGCCGAATTCTTTCGATTAAAATTAGAAAAATTTCTAAGAAATTTATTAAAAGAAAGTTTTGATTTATTTCATTTTTTAATAAATTTTACAACATTTAAAAAATTAAAACGCTTTATTTAATTTTTATTTTTTATTTATTGCAATAACAAATATAGTTCAAAATTTAAGCCTATTTTTGAAAGAAAAATTTATACATTCTCTAAGTTTATAAAATATCCTTAATTTTGAGACTTTGAATATTTTTTTATTCATTGCATCTGTATTAACAGGCATTGAATTTTTATAAGATAAAGCGAACAATAGCGAAATAGTAGTACAGTAATACATTAATAATAACAAAATAGCGAGTTATTTAATGCAAAACAATAGTGATTAATAGTAAAGCTGGAGCATATATTCGATTTGATGAACTCAGAAATTGAATTTAAGATTAGGCAGTTCGTAAAAGTTGGTCTCAGGCCAAACTGAGAGATATCTAAGTTTCCAAAAACTTTTAAAATTGCTGACAGAGCTGGCACGTGAGATGTAAGACATCGTTTCCAGTCAGAATATCAAATACCACAAAATATCAGTCAAATATGCTTGGTGAAAAAAATAATAAATGACCTAATACGATAAGGCATTACAGAAATTTGTGCTACATTTATAGAAATTACGAATTAAATATTCGGATTTAATGCGCAAGCAAAAAATCGAAATTGTTCAAATTCCATAACTATATTACGTATGTCGATTCGTAGAAATTATTTTAAAATTTTCATTATAATATTGAGCACTTGTTTGTATTTTAAATTAAACTTATGAATTCTGATCATCGATGTTTCTTCGGTACATTTATTTGTTATATTTAAAATTATACCGAATAATTCTAAATTAATGACACTCTATCTGAATTTTAATTATAAATTTAAAAATCTGAACTATAATTGCCAGTTATCGTCTAAAAATAAAACGCTAGTGCTTTGTTTTCATTATTACATAATACCGGTACGTTAGGTATAAATGAAGAATAAACCATTCTTCAAACACAGTAATTGAAAACGCATGGCAAACTAATATTCGGAATTTTTTAATTTCTAATTACTAAGCCCTGGATTTATTTTCGGAACAAAAATATAATAAAAATAAAACAAAATTATCAAAGTTTCTTCAGTTATCTTGTTATTAATTAATGCAGTATACAATATTATAAACATGCACATTCAAGAAATCTATTAATATTTTCTTCTGTCAGACTGTGTCGACGGTCAGTAAGAATGTTTTTATACAATAAAAAAACTTCTCTCGGCCTCGAATGTAGTCACAGGATAGTATTTCAGCAAAGGTACATTGCAAGCTCTATATCCTCAGGGATCTCCAACTAGATAAATATTAACTTGGCGAAGCACGAAAATACCACTGTTCTCCAAAAGCACTGCCAGCTTTATGCGAAGTTTCCTCCACATAAACCAGGAAGGTTTTGTATAGAATTCTCCACTGTTTGAAAATTTTTTAGAGATTCTTTAAGTGACAACCCTCTTGCTTCTACTACTTCAATGATGTCCGGAAAATTTAAATTAATAAATGGGCTCGGATGTAAACTAGAGAAGCGATAAAATGTGGGTTCTCCAAAGCATCCTTAAAACTGTACGAAGACAAACTAATATTCAAATACTAAATAGAAATACAGTAATTTTGAAATGAAAAACAGAATTAATAAATCATATAGTTGACTTGAAAATTTAAATCACTACGTGTTTGACTGTGAGGATTTTGAAAATTTGCGTCTATCAACACTTCCTAACAATGTTTTTTGTACTAATAATGTTGTTTGTAAAGATCCAGCAGATAGAACTCATGGATTATTCTCCATCAACGACTCAGTTGATTCTATATGGTATAAATACATTGCTGGCTATTAAAATTGCAACACCAAGAAGGAAAGCAAATAAAAAAATGATATTTATTGTACGTAAACAATATGGCATGAAGACAAAATGATTAAATTTGCAAGCAGTTTGGGGATTTATAGGGGTGCAAAATTAGTAGACACAGTTGCCACCCCTGGCAGCTAAAACGGCCCTTATCTGGTTAGGCATGGAGTCAAACTGGGCTTGGATGACAGAAATGGGCAACTTATTCCATGCTGCTCCAAGTCTATGCCACACTTTATCAACCATATTAGCTGGAGAGGGGTGGTGGGCCAATCTCTCAGCAACCCATGACCAAATGTTTTCAATTGGTGAGAGATCTGGAGACCATGCAGGCCAGGGCAACAATTGAATACCCTCTGTATCGAGGAAGGTCAGAACACGACGTGCAACATGAGGTCTTGCATTATCTTGTTGGAAGATGGCATTTTGCAGGCCTCGAAGATAGGGCACAACCACTGGATGTAAGATGTCAGAAATGTACCGATCTGCGTTCAAATTACCGTCAATCCGAACTAGAGATGTGCATGTCATGTATCCAATGGCTGCCCATATCATCACACCAGGTGCAGGGCCC